CGCCTTCAAAATTTGGCCAAAACAAGGTTTATAGTTTTTGGGGGTGAGCTCGGAAGATCAATAAGTTCGATCCAAAAAACAAAAATGTTGGCACAATTTTTGAATCCCGTTTTCATCCCTCCTTGACAAAGTCCTAGATCCACCCTTGATTTAGCCTCAGTTTTGCTAAAGTCAATTCAGTTTAATTTTAAAAATCATTACGAGGCCAAACTGTGTATTTTGTAAATTGTTTGCGTATTATTGCTTTTGAAAACATTTGTTTTTTTTTAGTTTGGATTTTCAATGAGCAATTTACGAAAGATCTCATCTTAAACGAAACATCAGCAAATTTCGGTGTTTCCATTCTTGACATTGCACTTTATACTCGGGCCAAAGTCTTCATTTCACATGTTGCCGTTCAAATATGCATGAAAGATAAGTGGAAATCGGGTCTAAAGTATTCTTATCTTAAATTATTATTAGCTGCATTTTTTCCCTTTTGTGCTATTACTGATATCCGAAAAATTCATATGAACAAAAAAAGTTTCTACAGCAAAAGTATTCACCTAGTCAATAAAAAGACGGAACTGGGTTTTGATTCGCCAAGCTTGAACCTATCAGCTGACGACACTTTTCAATCTGATGAGCCCAATACGACATCAGAAAATTATGTGCTTCTATCGGGTTCTACGAATGGCAACATGAAAGATCGAATGCCACGCGACAGCGATGTTAATGGAATTGAAACATTTCCTTATGAAAACGGGGTCAAGCTTACAAATGACTGGAACATATCACCAAAACTCTCTAATGAAAACGGAAATTTATCGACCATTAATTGTTTCAAAATACTTTACTCAACACCTGCGGTTAAGTTTAGCTTACATTTTCTGTTCTTCGTGTCATTTCTTCTGTTTTATTCTTGGTTCCTTGTTCGAAAATGCAGAGAAGTTCCACTGTCATCGTCCGAACACTTTATTTTCATCTTAAATTCTTGTTACTTCTTGGAAGCTTTCGTGTTGCTTTTGCGGGTATTTTCTGTTATGCGCGAAAAACTTGAGGTTTACGGTATTTTTCAACTTTGATCAAGTTGCTCAATTTTGTTTTTTGAGAGTTCTGAAAACTGAAATATCGCATGGAGTTGCAATCTTAACAGGTTTTGAAGTAAAATTACCTTTAAAGCCCTTAAAACGGCCTAAAATTTAGTTTACACTCTAAGTACCGGGTCTACTAACTAATTGCTATCAATGATTTTTTCTCGACTTTTTCAATTTTGAAAGGAACAAAAGACCGCGCTTTTAAAACCAATGCGCTAACTTTAGTTTTTTGTAGCCGGTAATCAACCAGGCCAACCTAGTGTGTCTATTCGAGCGAATATGAAGGTTGTCATTTCTTCCTTCAAGGCTTACGTTTTGGGTTTTTGGCCAAACAAAACGCAGCAAGCGAGTTGAAAAATTACGAAAAGTTGACTAAATTTAATTCAAAATTGGCTATTTACGTTTACTCTTTGTCTAATTTGGCTGATATATAAACCTTTTCATAATTGAGAACATAACCGGAATGGTTTCGCATTTGAAAGTAGTATTGCCTCAGTAGTGTTCCAGTGAAGCAACAGCTATGCTTAAGACACTGTGCAGAGCAGCTTTAACTCTGATCAGAATTGAAATCAGAGATTAATTTCACATTTTTGTCCAAGCAGTGCAACATTGCTGATTTTCTACTTCGATATCTCTTGTCATTGAAAAATCAATGAAAACAGAGATAATTGTTTGTGATCAAAATGCGCAAAGATCTCTAACGAGATTTGAACCCTTTACCTGGTGCTACCCAAACACACTTCAGACCTCTGCACATATTGTTCCGACTTTCAAAGAACATCCTGGAATATTTACGCTTGGCGTTGTTTTTTCGTATTCAGTCAATTTCCACATCTTAAAAATAGCGTTTTTACGGATTTTCAAAATCATTTCAGAGATATTTTTGTCCTGATCTCAAGTTAAAAACATAGTTTCACCTCTGTGACCACGTTTTGTAAAGTTATGGGGTTTGTAGATTAAAAATTTGAACAATTTGGGATAACTAACGCGCAATAGAATGCGTTCTTAGTTCAACAAGTGTAAGCGGTAAATAATTGCGTTTCAAAAATTAATGCGTATAAAATAAACAAGACTGCTCGTATCAGGGCGAAGCCCTGAATGTTCCGACTGCCTTTTAAGGTTTATGGAGCAGCAGTAATAACATAAAAATTTAAATGAAATAAAATAAAATGAAATTTTTTTTTTCAAATTTGAAATTTTTTAATGAAAATCATCCCCCCACACGCCATTTTAAGTACAAAAAGATAGATTTCATTCCTTGTAACAAATCAATTATGGCAAATAAGCTTCGTTCAACCAATTTGGAACGATTTGTAAGACGGATTAAATCTCCACTTACGCGTTAATAGCGCCAATTATATCGCGCGTTAATTGTCCCAAATTGTTCAAAATGGCAATTTTTAAACCCTCATAAAATTACACAAAATGATCACAGGTGAAATATCTTTTCAAATTTAAGCTCAAGACAACAATGGCTTTCGAATGATAAAAAAAATCCGTCAAAAATGGCTAGTTAAAAAGTCGAAATTTGTCTGAAGAAAAAAAAACCCACCCCGAGCACAAATATTCCGTTACTTTCGTATCGAAAGTCGGAACAACAAGACGGCTTGCATCAATGCGAAGCCCCTACTGTTCAGACTGCCTTTTAAGGTCTATGAAGCAGCAATAACATAAAAAAATTAAATGTAATAAAACAAAACTGAAAATTAAAAAAAAATGAGATCCCCACAAAATCATCCCCCCACACGCCATATTAAGTACAAAGTGATTGAGTTTGCTCCTATTAACAATCAAGTATGGCAAATAAGCATCCTTGAACCAAGCTGGAACGATTTCTACGACGGATTAAATCTCCGCTTACGCGTTGATAGCGCGAAACATCGAAGTACGCGCGTTAATCGTCTCAAAATGGCCAAAATTGCAACCTTTAAACTCCCCTACTTTAACAAAATTGATCACAGGTGAAATATCTTTTCAAATTTAAGCTCAGGCTAACAATACTTTTTGAATGATTTTGAAAAATCTGTCGAAGGCGAAATTTGTCTGAAGAAAGAAACCCACCCCGAGCACAAATATTCCGTTACTTTCGTTACAAAAGTCGGAAAAACAAAGTAGGCGGTAAATTAATGCGCATTAAGACCAGCTAATTAGTCCGTTTGAAAAAAAAACGAGACGGTAAACATACCCATTATATCTTAGATAGCATCTGGATGGATAAAGAGAATTGAGAAAAAAGTGTTTCCTCCTACTCAATTATTTTGTCTTTTATTCAATCAAAAAGCTTTCTAATTAGCCTTAAAGTTCAATGGGAACATTTGGGGCCTTGCCCTGATACAAGAGCAGTCTTGTTTATTGTTCAGTTAGGCTATTTACTACAAAGCAATTATCATATTCGCAGATAGTTACGATGACAATATATAATTGAAAGAGAAAAGCAAAGTAATTTACTGATTTTTTATCTTTAATTTTACTCAACAATGCTCCAGCTTTTTTGACCAAGAATACAATCTGTTTCAGAATTGTATTTGTTTGATCTATAATATAGTTCTCCGCTTCAAAAAATTATTGTTAAAAATTGGATTATTTTTTTCTGTGGCATCAACCCGTCATATAGTTCAAGCTGATGCTTGATTCTGATTGTTTTAATTTTAATCAATAAAATATCAGGACAGTCGATAGGTTGTAGAAAATTGTTTACGTCTCTGTTTCTCAAGCCATAAATTGGATATTCGAGGCCCTTATTAATCCGTGCTCGTTGATTAATCTTAATCATGGGCACAACAGCGGTTCTTCGTAATAAACTGTACGGCTCGCGCATTGATTTTTTCCCTCATAGATAAAAAAACACCCTAGTTTCATTTCAAGATGTTAAAGCTGCAATTTCGGACGGAATCAGTAAAAAAGCCTGTAATTAAGATGAGACTGCTCGTATATCAGGACAAAACCTTGAATGTTCCGACTGCCCCTTAACCCATATCGAAGTTTTAGAAAAGAAAAGAAAAGAAACTGTTAATTTTGGACAAAAAAAAGATCAAGTGTAACCTTTTGAGTCTCGCAGAGCTTGCAAAAAGGATCGGAGGTAAAAATATCCCACTGTTTTTTGATTTCAGAGAGTCGACATCTTCAATGGGGTATAATTTGTTTTGTCAAAAACTATAAAGTCGACCGCGGAAAATTGAGTGAATGAAATCACGCCAAGCATGAAAGTTCTGTAGTATTCGAAAATTTGAACAAAAAACAGTTCACCTATAAACACTAAACAAAACTGCTCGTATCACGGCCAAGCCCTGAATGTTCCGACTGCCTTTTAAGGTTTATGGAGCAGTAATAATTTTAAAAAATTAATTGAAATAAAATAAAATGAAATTTTTTTTTCTTTAAATTTGAATTTTTTTAAATGAAAATCATCCACCCACACGCCATATGAAGTACAAAATGATAGATTTCGTTCCTTGAAACAAACCAATTATGGCAAATAAGCTTCTTTCAACCAATTTGGAACGATTTCTAAGACGGATTAAATCTCCGCTTACGCGTTAATAGCTCGAATTATATCGCGCGTTAATTGTCCCAAATTGGTCAAAATGGCAACCTTTAAACCCTCATAACTTTACGAAAAATGATCACAGGTGAAATATTTTTTCATATTTAAGCTCAATACAACAATACCTTTTGAATGATATACAAAAAAAAGTTGTCAAAAATGGCTAGTTAAAAAGTCGAAATTTGTCTGAAGAAAAAAAAAACCCCACCCCGAGCACAAATATTCCGTTACTTTCGTATCGAAAGTCGGAACAAAAACTCAAATTAAGCTGATGTTAAAAAAATGATATATTTTTTTACTTACGAATAAATTTTAAATTTCTCCAGTTTTGAACCGCATAACAGAAAATTCCCGCTTTTCAGTTCAAAGGTCCTTTTGTGATGAAACTGAAAGCTTTGCTGTGTTGTGAGTGGAGCTACATCCAAATCATATCATCTGTTTTTGGATGTATCGCCTACGTCATTAGAAACCTCTCAATTACGGTTAGTTTTAGTGAAAAAGGGTTCCTGTCGAGCTTATCAGCTTTTTTAGTTTCTTCTGTGCCGAAATTGCGGAATGGTTGATAGATCAAGGAGAGACGTTTTAGATGAAGAATTTTGTTTCAACGTAGTTGACTAGAGGTTCTTAGTGGTTCCGTAATTGTATTCGACTTTATGTTGAACTATGCCTTCGACCTTTTGTTCGACAATGTGTTCGAATATTTATTAGACTATAAGTTCGATTAAAGTTCTTTTTTGTGTTCGACTAAGTATTTGACCATGTTTTCGAATGTGTTTTCGATTTTGTGTTTGACTATGTGTTCGACTAAGTGTTCGACTATGAGTTTGACTATGTGTTCGACTCTGTGTTTTGTTTTGTGTATGATTCTGTTATCGACTATGTGCTCGACTTGGTGTTCGATTGTGTTCCACTTTGACTAAGTGTTTAACTATGTTTTCGATTATGTGTTCGACTTGACTTCAACTGTGTGTTGGACTTTGTGTTCGACTACCTGTTCGACTATGTGTTCGCCTATAAGTACTCTTACGGTTATAGATCAAATTGCGGAATGGTTGATAGATCAAGGAGAGACGTTTTAGATGAAGAATTTTGTTTCAACGTAGTTGACTAGAGGTTCTTAGTGGTTCCGTAATTATATTCGACTTTATGTTGAACTATGCCTTCGACCTTTTGTTCGACAATGTGTTCGAATATTTATTAGACTATAAGCTCGATTAAAGTTCTTTTTTGTGTCCGGCTAAGTATTTGACCATGTTTTCGAATGTGTTTTCGATTTTGTGTTTGACTATGTGTTCGACTAAGTGTTCGACTATGAGTTTGACTATGTGTTCGACTCTGTGTTTTGTTTTGTGTATGATTCTGTTATCGACTATGTGCTCGACTTGGTGTTCGATTGTGTTCCACTTTGACTAAGTGTTTAACTATGTTTTCGATTATGTGTTCGACTTGACTTCAACTGTGTGTTGGACTTTGTGTTCGACTACCTGTTCGACTATGTGTTCGCCTATAAGTACTCTTACGGTTACACCTACCTGTTCGACTATCTGCTGGACTGTTAGTTCGACTATGTGTTTGACTATGTGTTCGACTCCATGTTTGGCTATGCATTTGACTCTGTGCTCAAACTTGTGTTCGACTTTGCGCTCAACTTTATGTTCGACTAGGTGTTCGAGTTTGTGTTCGACTATATGTTCGACTATGTATTCGACTATGTGTTCAACTATGTGTTCGACTATGTGTTGCACTTTGTGTTCGTCCTTGTGTTCGACTATTTGTTCGAATTTGTGTTCGACTATGTGTTTGACTATGTGTTCGACTCCATGTTTGGCTATGCATTTGACTCTGTGTTCAAACTTGTGTTCGACTTTGCGCTCAACTTAATGTTCGACTAGGTGTTCGAGTTTGTGTTCGACTATATGTTCGACTATGTATTCGACTATGTGTTCAACTATGTGTTCGACTATGTGTTGCTTTTTGTGTTCGTCCTTGTGTTCGACTATTTGTTCGAATTTGTGTTCGACTATGTGTTTGACTTTATGTAGGCTTATGTGTTCGACTATCTGCTCGTCTTTGTGTTCCTTTTTGTTTGTTCGTCTTTGTGTTCGACTATTTTTTCGACTAAGTGTTCGACTATTTGTTCGAATATTTGATCATTTTTGTGCACGCCCTTGTGTTTGACTTTCTGTTCGACTATCTGTTTGACTATGTGTTCGATTATATATACGCTTAATTTTACGCCTATCTGTTCGGCTATCTGCTCATCTTTGTGTTCGACTATGTGGTTTGATTATGTGCTAGATTTTGTGTGCTACTATGTGTTCGAGTTTGTGACCGTCTACGTGTTCGACTATGCATTCGGCCATGAGTCTGCTCTGTGTACGATTTGGTGTTCGATTGTATGTTTCACTTTGACCAAGTGTTCGACTATGTCTTTGACTCTGTGTTCGACTCTGTGTTCGATTTCGTCTTCGACTAGGTGTTCGACCTTGTGTAAGACTTTGTTTTTTTGTGCGACTCTGTCTTCGACTACGTGTTCGCATATGTCTTTGCCTATCTCTTCAACTATTGGTTCGACTATGATTTCGATCATGTATACGCATATGTGTTCGAATATATATTGGACTATGTGTTCGACTACGTGTTCGACTACGTGATCGACAATGTGTTAGACTATGTGGACACCTATTTATCCAACTGTAAGTTCAGCTATATGCTCGACTATGTGTTCCGCTTTGTTTTCGGACTGTGTGTCCAACTATGTGTTCCGCTATGTGTTCGATTATGTTTTGAATATGTGTTCGACTAGGTTTTCGACTACGTGATTGACTATCTGTTACTGTTCGACTATGTGGACACCTATGTATCCAACTATGTGTTCGGCTATATGTTCGATCATGTGTTCCTCTTTGTTTTCGGCTATGTGTTCGATTATGTTTTTGACTATTTTGTCGAATCTCTGTGCGACTACGTGATCGACTATATGTGTTCGACTATGTGGACACCTATGTATACAACAATGCGTTCGGCTATATGTTCGACTATGTGTTCCACTTTGTTTTCGACTGTGTGTCCAACTATGTGTTCGGGTATGTGTTTGACGTTGTGTTCGACTACCGGTTCGGGTTTGTGTTCGACGTTCTGTACGCTCGTGTGTACGCCTATATGTTCGACTATGCGTTAGACTATGTGTTTGTCTATTCGTTCGACTCTGTGTTTGACTACATGTTTGAGTCTGTGTTCGACTATGTGCTGGACTATGTGCTCGAGTTTGTGTTCGACTACGTGATCGACTATGTTTTCGACTATGCATTCGACGTGGTCTTCGACTGTGTGTTCGGCTTTGTGTCAGACTAATTCTTCGACCAGGTGTTTGACTAGGTGTACGCTTATCTGTTCGACTATTTGCTCGGTTTTTTGTTCGGCTATTTGTTCGAATATGTGTTTGACTCTGTGTTCGACTCCATGTTTGGCTATGTGTTTGAATCTGTTTTCGACTATATGTTCGACTATTTGATCGAATTTGTGTTTCACAATGTGTTTGACTCTGACCTCGACTATCTGTTGGACTATGAGCTCGACTTTGTGTTCGACTATGTGATCGTTTATGTTTTCGACTATGCATAAGACTTGGTCTTCGACTGTGTGTTCGGCTTTATGTCCGACTAAACCTTCGACCAGGTGTTCGACTATGTGTATGCTTTTGTGTACGCTTATCTTTTCGACTATTTGCTCGACTTTTTGTTCGACTATTTGCTCGACTATGTGTTTGACTATGTGTTCGACTCCATGTTTGGCTAAGAGTTTTAATCGTTTTCGACTATGTGTTCGACTATGTGATCGACTATGTGTTTGACTATGTGTTTGACTCTGTCCTCGACTATCTGTTGGACTATGTGCTCGACTTTGTGTTCGACTATGCAATCGACTATGTTTTCGACTATGCATTCGACGTGGTCTTCGACTGTGTGTTCGGCTTTGTGTCCGACTAAATCTGCGACCAGGTGTTCGACTATCTGTACGCTTTTGTGTACGCTTATCTGTTCGACTATTTGCTCGACTTTTTGTTCGGCTATTTGTTCGACTATGTGTTTGACTATGTGTTCGACTCCATGTTTGGCTATGTGTTTGAATCTGTTTTCGACTATGCGTTCGACTATTTGATCGACAATGGGTTTCACTATGTGTTTGACTCTGACCTCAACTATCTGTTGGACTATGTACTCGACTCCATGTTTGGCTATGTGTTTGAATCTGTTTTCGACATTGTGTTCGAATAACTGTTCGACTCCGTGTTTGGCTATGTGTTCGACTCTGTGTTCGACTATGTTCTCGACTTTGTGCTCGACTAAGTGATCGACTATGTGTGCGATTAGATGTTCGACTTTTTGTTCGTCTTTGTGTTCGACTATGCATTGGCTCATGTGTTCGACTATGTGTTCAACTATCTGTTCGACTATCCGCTCGTTTATTTTGTTCGACTATGTGTTTGACTATGTGTTCGACTCCATGTTTGGCTATGTGTTTGAATCTGTTTCCGACTATTTGTTCGACTATCTGATCGACAATGTGATCGACTATATTCTCGACTTTGTGTTCGATTAGGTGTTCGACTTTTTGTTCGTCTATATGTTCGACTATGCTTTGGCTTATGTGTTCGACTATGTGTTCGACTATGTGTTTGACTTGTTTTTCGAGTTTTTGTCTAACTCTGTGTTCGATTATGTGTTCGACTTTGTGTTCGTCTTTCTGTTCGACTATTTGTTCGACTATGCATTCGCTTTTTTGTTCGATTTTGTGTTCGACTATGTGTTCTAGTTGGTGTTTGACTATCTGTTCGACTCCATGTTTGGCTATGTGTTTGAATCTGTTTCCGACTATGTGTTCGACTATCTGATCGATGATGTGATCGACTATGTTCTGGACTTTGTGTTCGATTAGGTGTTCGACTTTTTTTTTCGTCTATATGTTCGACTATGCGTTGGCTTATGTGTTCGACTATGTGTTCGACTACGTGTTTGACTTGGTTTTCGAGTTTGTGTCCCACTTTGTGTTCGACTATGTGTTAGACTATGTGTTCGGCTATGTGTTCGACTATGTGTTCGACTATGTGTTCGATTATGTTTTCGACTTTGTGTTCGTCTTTCTGTTTGACTATTTGTTCGACTATGCATTCACTTTTTTGTTCGACTTCGTGTTCGACTACGTGTTCTAGATGGTGTTTGACTATGTGTTTGACTATGAGTTCGACTTGGCGTTCCATTTTGCGTTCGACTATGCGTTCGCTTTTGTGCTCGACTCTGTGTTCAACTTGATGTTCCGTTTTGCGTTCGAATTTGTGTGTTCGTTTATGTGTCTGACTTTGTGTTCGACTCTGTGTTTGGCTATGTGATTGACTCTGTGTTCGACTTAGTGTTCGACTATGTGTTTGACTAGTGTTCGACTATGTGTTTGACTAGTGTTCTCGACTTTGTGTTCCACTATG